TTTTTGTATTGGAGAATTTTTTTAATTATTTGAAACTTTACCTTCTTCTTGGACTTAAATTTATACTCTATATTCTCTTATCTAATGAATATATTCTTCTCTTCTGAATGGGTAATAGCCAAATATACTTCCACTTTCTCATCCTTGATTTTTTCTTCTTCCAGAAGTTTTGTGAATGTATTAAGTGCTGTTAAATTGCCTCTGACATGGTGACCTTATGAATCTGAATCCTCCAAAACAGTCTATCGTCAGCAGCTTTGCTCAGGTCTTGCAAGCTGAGGGCCATGGCTTCCTTAATGCAGTCAGTTCATCTCATGTTGGGCCTTCCTCTTTTTCTGCTGCCTTCAGTATTTCTTAGCATTATTGTATTTTCCAGTGACTCTTGTCTTCTCAAAATGTGACCGAAATAAGATAGCCTCAGTTTAGACATTTTAATTTCTAGGGAGAGTTCAGGCTTGATTTGATGTAGCACCCACTTGTCTTTTTGGCAGCCCATGGTATCCATAAAACTCCCTCCAACACTACATTTCACATGAATCAACTTTCTTCCTGTTATCTTTCTTCACAGTACAACTTTCACACCCATATATAGTAAAGGGGGATCTGATGGTATGAATTCACTTGATCTTGGTTGCCGGCGACACATCTTTACACTTGAGAATCTTTAATAGCTCCTTCATGACTGTCCTTCTCAGACTCGGTCTCCTTCCGATTTCTTGGTTGCAGTCTCCCTTTGGGTTGATGACTCACCATAGAGTTTTTGAGGTAAGAGATGGTCAGAAGTGGTTTACCATTGCTTTCTTCTACACAGTACTAACCAGGGTTAGCTGAAGACCCACTGCTCCTGTCTGTGGAAGATCCTCTGCCAGTGTCACCTTCCACTACTGCTGCTGCCCAGTAGCTACCTTTCAAGGATGCCTCTGCACGCCATCACCATCCCACTTTGAGTGACTCTGCTAGGAGTTTAGCCTCTTGACAGAGTTTTAACTCCTTACAGTACTGCTCTGAGCTTCTCTGATGCACACAAGCCCCCTCACCAAATTAGGATGTGAGTCCAAGAGGGTGCCAGAAGTTTTACCATCTCCTAAATGGCTGTAATTTAAATGGAAGGTTGTGTTACTTGTTGCTTTGATAACTACTAAGGAATGCAAGTTGACTAAATGTAAGTTATTTTACTAATTTGAGCACCAATGCAAACTTGGAGCCTGCTGCTCAGATTTAGGACCACTGTAGTATAATAGAAGCTATTTGTTGAACACAGGTGCAACCAGAGATGGAGATGCTCAGGGAAAATCTGCCCTTGGCTTCTTAATGTATTCCAAAGCAAGGATGCCTGCAAAGTACACTTTTGAAAAATATTCAATTATAAAACTAGAACGCAAGAACATTTTTGTCATCAAGTAGTAAACATTTCCTTTGGTATTATATTGAAAATCAATCGATTATGTTTATATTATACTTACGTTTCCAAATATGTTTAATATTATACTTAGGTTTCCAAAATCCATAAATGGGTGCCAGTTCTGATTCCCACACTCTATAAATTACCAAATTCATTTAATGTAGGCACTTTTGAAAGATGTTTTTAATCCAGTTATTTACTGATAGTACTATAAGGTTTGGAAGAGTAATTCTGATGTTAGTATTAAGGGCTGATCTATGCATGGACACACATTTACATAGCATCAGGATCTAGAGATTTTTGAACTAGCTTTTTATTAGATTTTAGAATCTTTTTAACGGTCATGACAGTAATTAGTAATCTACCCTTTGTGAGAGCTGTAGTTTTATAGTCCAGAACACATTTAAGAGGTTTCAGTATATTGCATTCCTTGGGAGGCAGATCTAGTTTATTGTTGGATGCCAAAATGGGTGAGCTAGGTATTTCAGTCTAAAGCTTTACTGTCCTAGGGCTTAACAGAACTTGTGTCTTGGTTAAAGGTTAGCTGGAAAGAGTAGACTGGCAACATCTCATATCAGAAGCTAAATACACTTGTTTCCCACACATCTGGGTTTTCTGCCTTCACCACCTTTTGCTGCTAATAGGTATTCACATTTTTGAACAGTCCCTTTGTACCATCACCTTTTTTCCTTTGCTTGGCTTAACACATTACCAACTGCTGACCTATTTGATAGATTTCCTGATATCCCATGGGATCAAATGGTTTGCCCTGTGGGCTCCAGGTGCCCCAAACCTTAACACATCTTCCTTTCTTGTGTAAACTTTATCACAGATTGAGACTCTTTCTGATTATTCCTTTCCTTGTGGGCTAGGATCTTTGAGACCCGGGATCAAGAACCCCCACTGCTATGGAAACTTGCTGGGTGACCCTGGGCCAGTCACACACACTCAGCCTGACCTGCCACACAAGGCTGTGGGGATAAATTATGTAAGTCCTTTTCAGTCTGTATGGGGAAGAAAGGGAGCATATAAATGAAGTAAATAAACATCCCCTTCCTATGACTGTTATTTATTATTTTGTCTGGAAATAACAGGTGTGCTACTTGGCTGTTGCAAAATTTATTTCAGAAGCATTTGAAGTCCCTACAATTGTTGTTCACTCAGATTTATGGTACTAATTATCAGGCAGGTCAGCCCTCCCTTTGATTAACAATGTTTTATGGTTTCTCCTTTCTGGGTGGTAATCCAGTTTCAAAATAGATTGTGAAATTAGTTACTCTTAAATTCATATGATTGTCACACTTCATAATCATGCCATTTTTAATCTATGATTTTGACTGTTTTAAGTATTGTATTGTATTCTCTCTTATGTGCCTAAACAGGCTTTTTCAAATAAAGCCAGATAGAGCCAGTTTATAGGTTTATTATTATAGTCATGGATGAGTTGATACTGTCTAGTATTATGATTTTGACTGTTTTAAGTATTGTATTCTCTCTTATGTGGCTAAACAGGCTTTTTCAAATAAAGTCAGATAGAACCAGTTTATAGGTTTATTATTATAGTCAGGGATGAGTTGATACTGTCTAGTACTCTGAAGCCCTTACTGCTAGGTAATGGCAAATGACCACCTGCAGGGGAATGTTTTAGTGTTTGGAGAATAGAGTGGCTTCTATGAAAACAGGTTTTCTATCTGTTACTTAAACTATTGTAATAATAAATTAATTATTTAGTGGAGGCCCGTCTTAATTGGTTGACTGGAGTGAAAGGCATATTTACAAGCCTTTTTGGTTCACCACATTACTAGGTAATGAAAAAGTTAAAGATGTCTCTTCCCTTTAACAATAAGTAGTGAATGACAGCTTAACAAAAGTAATCTTTTATTTCTTTCAGTGTCTCAATCACCTATACTGAAGTTTTCTTAATATGCAAACTTGTGATCCACTAGAATGTATTCAATCATTTGAATGTTGTAGTAACAATATTTAGTATTCACTATGCTTTTCTGTTATGATTATAGTGCATCATATGTTATCTCCATAATATTTACAACTCTGTTAAAGCAGTGTTATTATTACACTCATAGTACTGATGCAGAGACTGACAGTATAATCTATGGAGTTATCCTCTATGTACCTATGTAATTTCAATGGGTTTAGATTAGAGAAACTGTAAATAGTTTTGGCACAGCAGAATTTGCTTGCATAAAGGCATTCCAGAAGTTCATACCTGAACTGCCATTTGAACTGGAGACTTCCAGCTCATGCTTATACCACTATACTGTAAAAATCATGTAACTCTAGGGTTACTCTAGCCTGAAGAATATGTATCTGGTGAGTAATAAGAGACAGAATTTAACTGGTGATCTTAGGAGCTTGTCATAACAGTGCCCAGGCTGCTCTTTTGTTGTATAACAAATCCTTTTTTGGTATGCATAAAGGCTATTTTGCAAAGGCATTTTGAATGAGAACACTTTTTTTGGTTTAAATTTCAGGAATCAAGGATGTCCAGTGGAAAGCAAATAGACGAAACTATCTTTCCAGAAGAGTAACTGTTGTGTGAAGATTTTTTTTAACCTACCATGAAAACACTGTGACTTCAGCCTACTTTGATATCTTTGGCCTGCTCAGAAATGTTTTTCACATTTTCAAGAAAAAACGTATCCCAGAAAATAAGTTTATTGCTGCTGATTTTTGGTTTTATCTGGGGCATAATGTTACTGCGCTATACCTTTCAACATCCAAGGCAACAGAACAGTGCTGAGCTGCGTGAACAAATCCTGGACTTAAGTAAAAGATACGTCAGAGCACTGGCAGAAGAGAACAAGAATATAATTAATGGTGGTAATGGAGCTGCAATGGCGGGCTATGGTAAGATTACATAAAAGTTCTTTGTAGTGTTGTGTTTCAATATTTAATTTCTATTAATATACATAATAGCATTATGTAATACTGTCACATAAAATTCTTATTTCTGTGTTTGAAGCAATAGCCTGTAAACAAGGAAATCCACAATCATTAATAGAAGACATATTAAGTATCTGTGTTGGTCCTGAAAATGCATGGTTCATTGATATTAAGGAATGCATGTTCAAGAAAGCTTGTTGGAATAGTAAAAGCTTATTAGAAAGATACAGGTGATAATACTGGTATATACGTTGTGTCCACACTTTGAGTAAAATATGTAGCCTCCAGAAAGTAGAAGAGGAAGAGATTGGATTTATACCCCGCCCTTCACTACCTGAAGGAGTCTCAGAGTGGCTTACAATCCCTTCCCCTTCCCCTCCCCACAACAAGACACCCTGTGAAGTAGGTGGGGCTGAGAAAGCTCTCTTGAGAACTGCCCTTGAGAGAACTTTGAAATAATTTATGACTGCCCCAAGGTCACACCAGCAGCTGCATCTGGAGGAGTGGGGAAGCAAACCCGGTTCTCCCAGGTTAGAGTCCACGCTCCTAACCACTACACCAAACTGATGTAACAGAACTGGAAACAGCACCAGGCAAAGCGACAAAACTTGATTAGGAGTATGAAATAATTTTGAAAACCTTATTGAAGGGCAATGCTCATTTTGCAAAAAGTTAGAATCAAGAGAGCAGTGTACTAGCAATAGTTTGGAAAAATATGGAAAACCAAAGTGTGGCTAGGTCTGTGTACAGGCAGATCAAGGAGAACCAGGAAGGCTCAAGGTCCCATAAGATGTTCCTTGGGGGAAAGTCTTCACAGAAAAAGAGGGGCAAGAGATGCTTTGACAGTTATGGTGACAGAAAGGGAACCGAGCATCTCTTGTGTCTGGGAAGAAGGGGAGAACATAAGAACATAAGAGACGTCAATGTTGGATCAGGCCAAAGGCCATCCAGTCCAACACTCTGTGTCACACAGTGGCCAGAAATACCAGTGCCATCAGGAGGTCCACCAGTGGGGCCAGGATATTAGAAGCCCTCCCACTGTTGACCCCCCCAAGCACCAAGAAGACAGAGCATCACTTGGCCCAGAGCCCCTATCTATACCTTGTGGCTAATAGCCACTGATGGACCTCTGCTCCATGTGCTTATCTAATTCCCTTTTGAAGCCGTCCATGCTTGTAGCCGCCACCACTTCCTGTGGCAGTGAATTCCATGTGTTAATCACTCTTTGGGTGAAGAAGTACGTCCTTTTATCCGTTCTAACCCGACCGCTCAGCAATTTCATGGAGTGCCCACGAGTTCTTATATTGTGAGCAAGGGAGAAAAGTACCTCTTTCTCTCCTCTGGATAGAGAGCATCCTTTCCCAACTGAGACAGAAAACACACTAGCCCTTTGATGTGTTAGCACCTCTTGATTAGAAAGTCCAGGTATGGTGGGCTTGAGACCCAAGACCTGGTACCAGACCCATAGCCAGACCCAAATTTGCCCTGTTCCCTCATCTCCCGTTCTCCTACCCTGGGAGGCGGAGAGAGCCTGGGGTGGAGACACGGTGTCTGTTCTTCTCCGAGGGTTCCTGTGCCTTTTTAAAGAGTGGTATGTCCATCTTTGAAGAATCACATAGGACAGGCAAGCTTCCATGCCTAGCTGCTCTTAAAGATATAGGTGACCTCCTGGAGGGGTGGTCTTTTGCTCAGAGATCCTGTAATCATGCTCAGCTCTGCAAAGGTGATGAATGCCCTTTCTCCTGCCCCCCCCACCCCCAACTCAGCTCTGGGCTGTCTGATCATCAATTCAAGGAGGGGGCTGTGAGCTGGGCTGTGGCAGTACCTGCAAGGGGAGGGACCCTGGAGGAGGTAGCACTCCAGCAGCACTGTTCAAAGAAAGCCAGGTGCCTCCACCACTGCCCTCTGTCCCAACAGTGCTGCCCCTTCCTTAGGCCCCCTGTGGGAAGCAGCTATGGAGTGGCATATGCTCCTCCAAAGACCTCATTGCCCTCCTCCCATTACTGCTGGGCACTGGTGGCATCTCAAGGGCATGGCTGAGAAATGCTGGTAGATGCCTGGTGCTTTTGAACTCAGGTGCTGCTCTCTCTTCTCTCTGTCCTGCGAACTCTGCAAAACCTGCCCTGGGACCCCCCCCCACTCACCCTCCACCCTCCCTCCCACACTGTCAGCTCCACTGCACTAAGCTGCCCCCTTGTTGCCCCCCCCAAAATTTCTAGCTAAGGGCCTGCCTGGGTACCCAGATTCGCTGAAGATCATGGAGTACGTGTGGGGTGGAGTCTGAAAAGGATAGGTGTTTATTTGGGAAGAGTGTGTTTAGTGTCCATGGATCTGTGCATTTGGGTGCATTTTGCTATGTGTTTTGCCATGAAGGATAACAGAGGAGAATGATACTAAAGAGGGTTGCAGATAACTAAAGAGGGCATCTTGCAGATAACAAAGGTCCAGATATATCATGGATAGTAAGTACATTAGTAACTCTCCTTTTGTTTATTTTGCTTAGTGCAGCTACATTCTGTCCTTGTAGTACTTTGTGTCTTGTAAAAATAAAGTTGCTTAATTTTGAGTCTGGTCAAGTCCTTACCCATCTGCCTTGAACCCTTGGCAGATGGTATAATGCAACATCCCTGTGGAGTTGGCTTTGAGTGATCCATGAAAGAGGGGCTGGATTTTACCCAAGGTAGTGGCGGTGACAGCAAAAAGGGGGGAGGGAACAGTGGCTAGTCCTTCCTGACAACATAACAGAGATCACAACACCCCCACAGTCACATGTTTTAGAGTGTACATAGTTGCATATATCACACTGGTTAGAAATATATGAATGAACTCTTTAAACCATAGAAGCAAATGTGAAACAAACAAGTTTGACTAGGAAAGCCCCATTCTTCCCCTAGTAACTGCTATTCTTTTGTCTCCTTAGAATGCTGTAGATTCTCGCCTGTGTATGCACATATATGTTAGTTTAACTCTGTCGTTCAACTTTAGAGTGTAAAAAAGGATTCCTTTCTGTATTTTGTGCTCTTTAGCTGATCTCAAAAGAACAATTGCAGTTCTTCTAGATGACATCTTGCAGCGCTTAGTAAAATTGGAAAACAAGGTCGACTACATTGTTGTAAATGGTTCAACAACAAATACCACAAATGGAAACTTGATGCCAGCAACTACAAGCAAACGGGTAAATGCAGCAGGCAACGTAAGATAACATACAAAATCACTATGTGCCATTGGTTTAATTCTGTTCAGAATTCACTTTGTGCAGCTGTATTGGCCATAGATTTAGTTCTGTCTAAAATCACTGTGTCCAGCTGTTTTTGCCATTGATGTAGTTCTGTTCCAGTTGGGAAAAGAAACACTTGGCTCATGAAAGACTGCATCCTGTTTCAACAGGGAATATTAAATTCAATTCTAACTTCTTTTTATAAAGCTCTAGAAACCTTCTGTTCGGTAAGATAGGAGTCATAAAGTAATGCTGTATAATATCTTATTTAAAGATTTGCTGGAAACATAGCTAATGTAGTAAGATAAGTGGATAATGCGTAAACTGAGATTTTATGAAATGATTATGGAGAAGGATGTAGATTTAATATCTAAAATCTATTTAAATATAAATCTAACATATCTTTTTACTAAGTGATAAAATTAGCTTAATTTTGTGGTTATTAATGCATAGCAATGAAGGATAATTTATCTGTTAACATGAATGCTGGAAAGTAAGTGTACATAAAGTACTTTTAACATCATCATTGGCTGATTGTAAAAATCAAGGTAACATTATGGATAACATCTTAAAATGGCTATCCAAAGAATTATTTGCACTATTGTGAAATAGAGGGAGAATGTTTTCAAAAATATTGTTTATTTTTATGCAAGTAGTGACATGCTAAAGAGCATAGTTACTAAAGAATTAGGGCAGTTAGATAAAAGAAACTTAATCTGTGATGGTTCATAGCTGTCTAAAAATATTTAAATGTGTTTAGCAACTGAAGACAAAATAAGCGATAGAAGTCACATCAGATATTGAACACTGCTAGCTTCTTATTCATTGATGTTTTTTGTGACTATATAAGTACTTTACAGCCTATGATAAACATGGCATACCTTACGCTATTTTTAAGGGGAGGGGGTGAACTGAGATGAAGGGAAGCAAGGCATCTTGACACTTACTAAAGAGATGTACTAAAAGGGTGTGATGTGGCGGCAGGCAGTGCTGCTGTGCCATTATCTGGTGGACTTGTACCCAAGCATTTTATGAAGGACTTGAAAACAAATAGGAGAGAAGGGGAATGCTGCCTTATATCCATGTTAGCCTTACAGCAGCAAATTGCAGTGAGAGTGCACTACATTCCATAGTGTGCTTTCTGTATCATAAATTCTAAAAAGTGCCAGTCTGAGTTTTTGCATTTATTATGGAATGATTTCTAAAGGGTTTATTCCAGTATTTTTGCTTAAAGTATGCTGTGTAGTTTTCAAAGAACAAATTTAAAAGAAGAACACGTTATGTGGTGCTAGATGATATATTGTCCCAAATGACTATCCCTGCAGATGACTATAAAAACTGGATTAAATTAATTACAAAATAAAGTAAAATATAAGGTCAAATCTTTGAGTGCCTGGTCCGTTTTTCTTACGAATATATGATTTCCTGTAACAAAGAAAATGTAAAATTGCTGTCTGGAAGTTTAAATAGCCTGTGTTTTTTCCAGTTATCTTTCCGCCACCCAGTTATTTTAACTTGCATGTTTTTAATCTTAAAAGCTTCAGGCTAGACTTGATAAATGAAATGGTAAGGCTACATATCTAAGCACGTATACTTTGAAATCCAAATACACTTTCTCAAACTACAGTATATCAGGGGACATATAGGCCACATTCCTGAATCTGCTTTGGCAAGATGTACTGACTGGGCTGCACAATCATAGTCTAAAACTTGTTTGTATTCCCATGTCTGGTACAGCCCTTACACATGGGATTCCCATTTACTATGCAATGGTTCTGCCCATGCTTCTACCTTCAATGAAAATACATGATACAGAGTTCCTCTTCACTGTTGATGTCCTTTTACTGAAGTTGGTTACCCTATCACAGTGATGGTGAACCTTTTTGAGACCGAGTGCCCAAACTGCGACCCAAAACCCACTTATTTATCGCAAAGTGCCAACACAGCAATTTAACCTGAATACTGAGGTTTTAGTTTAGAAAAAACAACTCATATATTAACATAAGATGATCCAAACAAAGTAAGGAAAGCAATCCCAAATGCTTTCATTTACTTAAAATTATTTGGCAGAGAATTCCACACTTTAATGACGGTCTGGGCCTGGCTGGGGCGATGGCACACGTGCCCACTGAGAGGGCTCTGAGTGCCGCCTCTGGCACGCATGCCATAGGTTCGCCACCACTGCCCTATCAGTTGAAGCTGCTACAGAGTAAAAATATTCTGGCTTTGTACATTGTCCTTTTGTTCTCATGTGTGACTTTTCCCCCATAATGGGCATTTGTGAAATAGGTGACTGTCAAGGGTGAGACTATAATAATGAATATAAAGACAAATAATAGAGTAACAGCTCCTGTTGAAAGTCATAAAGATGTAAATGGCTTGCCATCTTTTCAAATATTGCTTTTGGGTAGACACAATATACATTGGTTTTGAGGACGTGTATATCTTCTACAGGAGCTGCGGTGGCTCAAGTGGTTAAGACGCTGAACTGCAGGCTGTGGAAGGTCAGTAGTTCAGCAGTTCGAGACCCGAGTTGCTGCATGACGGAGTGAGCTCCCGTCTTTAGTTCCAGCTCCTGCCAACCTAGCAGTTCGAAAGCAAGAAATTGCAAGTAGATAAATAGGTGCCACTTCAGTGGGAAGGTAACAGCGTTCCGTGCACCTTGGTGTTTAGTCACGCCGGCCACATGACCACGGAAACGTCTTCGGACAGCGCTGGCTCTTCGGCTTTGAAACAGAGATGAGCACCGCAACCCTAGAGTCGGACTTGACTGGCTTTCGAGCAAGGGAACCTTTACCTTTTATATCTTCACCTTCAAGAATACTGCAGTTTTGCAAAAGATAAACTTTGAGCCCTGCCCCATAAACAAATGTGTACATTGTTATGCAACAGTTAAGTTGTTAAGGAAACATTGCATTCCTCTTCCGGCCGGCTAGTGACAAGAAAAACTTGCAGTGCCTCTCTCAACTAATAAAAAGGCAACTGCTTTCTTTCTGAGTGAAGGGGGAGTACACAGAGTGTGTGTTTTGATGGGCTCTGCTAGATCTTTGAAGTCTATAAAATCACTAATAGGCAAGGGTTACAAGTTTAGAGTGTATTTCTAAAGAGTTTTATTCTCCTGTGTTTAAAGTTCAGGAAGTAACAGTTCTGTACCTGTAGTACCAGTTAGCTTGTATTGGTGAAGGGAGAGAAAATTAATTTATTTCTTCACATTTATAGCCCACCCTTCCCAGAGGTGGGCTCAGGGTGGGTAACACTTCATTTATACAAAAATATTACTTAATACAATAAAATTAAATTTAAAACATCATAAATATTAAAATGGTGGTCACAGATGATAAGAAATTTTCTGATTGTGGGGAGGTTCCTGGTCATAGCTAGTAGTTGTTAACAGTGTGACGAACACCTCAGGAAGGCCATATATGGATGTCCGCTGCCTCAGCCAAAGGTGTTGTGGAACAGCTCTGTCTTGCAGACCCTGTGGAACTGAAGTAAATCCCACAGGGCCCTGATCTCAGTGGGGAGCATGTTCCACCAGGCCCTGGTCGAGGCAAGGCGGACGTCTTTCAGGCCAGGGACTACCAGGTGTTGATCCATAGAGCATAGTGCTCTTCGGGGGATATACGGGAAGAGGTGATCCCTCAGATATGTTGGTCCCAGGCTGTGTAAGGCTTTAAAGACCTTTAAGTTACAGCCACATCCTTACTAGTAGGAAAAGTGGTAAAATGTGAAGATCCCTTGTTAGAAAAGGCAAGATTTTGTAACTCCTGGGGGCCCATAGTGCCCATAGACAGATTTCTGCTGGGCCTCACACTACTTGACCCAACTCAGTCATCGCACCAAAACCAGTCACATAGCTTGCCCTCCTCCGTGGGCTATGAAGGTCCTTCTCCCCACAAGCCCTGTTGGATTCAGTCTACTGGAGGCGGTGTCCTGGGGTAATTTCAATAATTGTGATTCAACAGAACTTGCTTTAACTAATAAAGCTGGTTTTGTTTGTTACTGTTGGTCTTATACATGGCATGCAGTGGCATAGTGCCACTGGCCTCTAAATTTGTTCTACTGCTTCAGACCAACACGGCTGAACAACTGGATTAATTTTTCTGCAATGCAGACCCTTGCCCTTAAAAAAACTGGGTGTCCCCCCCCCCCAATTTAATTTAAAGGAAATTGGGGATTAGTAATAAAATAGGATAGTAAGCAGGACTAAGGCCTGCTCTAACCATGCAGGAGTGATGTCGGAATACCGAGGGGGCAAAGTGTACCGTATCATTTTAAATTGCAGGCAGGAAAAATCAGGTTTGTAACGTTTTCCCAAGTAGAAGTCCCTTCAAATTAAAAACCATGAACGGTAAAAAAACGCTCTCGCCTAGACCTTTGAGCTCATTTCCCACCCCCAGGTAATGTTTAATGTTGGGAACGTTTGAAAACCGTTTAAGTGGTGCTATTCATTCGTTCCACCGCCACAGCACTCTACGCCGCCGCGAGGACTGACCAGACCTCGGGCACCTCGTCCCACTTTCTTTCGGCAAAACTAATGTTGACTTTGAAAGGCGCGTTACAACCGTCTCCTCCCAGCAACGGCTGAGCTCCAACAGGCGGCGTGCGTGGCAACCCCGCGCTCTTTCTGGCCGGGAAGGCGCTCCTCGATGTGACTCCCGCTTTCGTGAGGAAGCTAGTCGCTTTGCCCGCCGGGAAGCAGGCCAGACGGGCGCCTTGCTTCACTTCGTCATGGAGCGGCTGACGTTACAGCCAGGAGCCGCCGCAGCCATAGACGAATACCTCGAATACAGAAGGTGAAGGCAGGAAGGCTCGCCGTGTTCCGGGACATGTAAATGGCGGGTTAGGCGCGCTTTTGTGGGGGGGAAATGGGACGTGGAGGCTCCTGTGTCGTGTGACTTCATTATCAGCCTCCAAACTGTTTCGGATTGCAAAATCAGAATTAGGTCCCGCTTGCCTGAGAGGAAGCCTCTTTGCGCAAGGGGTCCCCCCCCCCTCCTCTAGCCTACCCGAAGCCTTTGCTTCGTAGTATGACGCAACAATTTAAGCGGAAAACTGGATGGTGAGGGTGGAGATACAGAGATGCGGAAAGTTACACCTGTTTCAGTTCTACAGGCAGGCTTATAAATTCTCTCCTGTTAAGACTGAAGGATTGTTGGGTTAGCAGAGTGCTCAAGGCACACAACGCAGCAGAGTATCAGGTTTGTGTGTGCTGACAAGGAATGAAGT